CTATTTGTTCAGCATTGTGAACATATACATTTAAACCTCTCTATATAGCACCTAAATTAAGGTATTTAATCACACATAATTTTGTTGAATACAGGTACTTCAATCTACAAGAAAAATAAATATATATAAGAGTAACTGTTACATTTAGAAGGGCATGACTTACAATTAGGACCTTCCTATGGTATGAGAAAAATAAAATCCATAGATACTTCCAAAATCATTATATAAGGAACTCACTAATATCTGGGTGGGGAAAAATAAAACCTAAAATATATTTGAAAATTCCAAAATGGCTCTCAACGATGGAAGCCTTCACATACCCAAATCTGGTAGCGTTTGAAAAAGTTGTGACATATAAAGACATTTTGGACACTGAAGGGAAATTAAAATTGAAGCAAAGAGCTTCAAGACCAGGACATTATACTATCATGGTAGTACCAATTTCAAATACAATATAGTTATGAAAAAGTATGGTTTTTATAAAGAACAAACACCTTTTGATAAGACACTGTTGAACTCTGATGAAAAACAAATTAAGAAGATATATACCGTATTTTTTGGAGTATAAGATGCACCGGAGTATAAGACACACCAAGATTTTGAAGAGGCAAATTTAAAAAAAAGTTTTTGCACTCTGCAGACCTCTCAAAAACGGCCTGTTTTTTGCAAAAATGGGCCCTTTTTTTAAAGGGCATGAATAGCCTTTAGGAGGCTTGTAGAGTGCTCCTGGGAGGTGCCCCCCCCAATGAGCAAAAACCACCCCATTTTTTGCTAAAACTGACTCATTTTTGTCAAAAAAAAAGGGCATGCATAGCCTTTAGGAGGCTTATAGAGTACTCCTGGGGGCTGGTGGGGCAAAATTGAGCAAAAAAACCGCTCATTTTTTGCTCATTTCTGCCCTCACCAGCCCGCAGGAGCACTCTGAAAGCCTCCTAAAGGCTATGTACTGCCATTTTGGTGTAGGGATGGGGTTTCAGGAGGCAAAACATGCTATATTCAGTGTATAAGATGCACCCAGATTTTCAGCCTCTTTTTTGAGGGAAAAAGGTGTGTCTTATATTGCAACAATATGGTAACTTCTTACTACATTTAAAAATGGAGGATGAACAGATAAAAGATACAATGGTACAATGGGATTTATTTTTTTACTATAACATAGAACTAGAGAAATGGCAAAATTTATGGGAAAGAAACAATAGGTTAACAATAGCAACTTCTTATAAAGAAAATGTATATAAAATGTTTTACAGATGGCAATTACCACCTGCTAAGTTAGCTAAAATGTTTAAATATATGTCGAGCAAATGTTGGATATGTATTTTAAAAACTGGCACATTTTATCCTATGTGGTGGATTTGTGTTAAAGAAAAAAAATTGGGATAAAAATACACAAATGGATAGAAAAGATAATAGGGAAATATGTAGATTTCAAACCTGAACTGTTTTATTAGGGATGATATCAGAAAAAAATGATAAGAAAAGTATGTATTTAATATTACATGTTTTAACAGCAGTGAGGATTATCTTAGCACAATATTGGAAAAATGAAGAAATGCTGCAAGACAAAGAGAAGAAGATATTAGATTGTGCAGAAATGGATAATATTACATGGAAAATCGACCAGAAAGAAGACACAAAATATGATGAAACATGGAACTTATTTTACCAATGGTTGGGAAAAGGGGTAGAGAGTAAGAATGGAATCTGTATTGATAAGCAATTTAAATACCCAGACAACATGATGTTTATTAAGCACTAAGAAATGTAATAAATAGAAAAGTAATAAAATTTATTTAAAATATGTATATACTATATAAAATACTCTTATCATGTATCATCAAATAAAAATATTTAGGAAATGTGTTTCACTCTATGTTCTAATTTCTTTAATTAGTCAAACAAAATTTAGAATTAGATTCAAAGTCTAACTTCTAATTAGATGGATTATATGGTTTACCCATGCACTGCTGAAATACCAGATTAGGGCTAGAATTTCCAGGAGAATATCTATGTGGTTGCTAAAGACAACACCAAATTCATGGGACATAATGCAAGAAGATAAGCCATATCTTTCTTTTGTATTGTAAAGCATGTATTACCAGACAAATTGCAGTAAAAAAATATGCAAGGCTCACTCAGCAAGATTTTGGACTGATTGATTTCAAATATCTAGAGAAAGAGCACATAGCTGTGTCAAGGAAGAAAGCGAATTTAAGAATCTCTTTGTAAATTAAGAATGTCTACTGATTAAAGGCTATCATGTTATGACATTCACCCAGTGGCCAGATTCTATTCCATAAAGGTATGCTTTTTATATTTAGATAGATTAAGCTTTCCTTATCATGTAATTTCCAAATTCATGAGATTTTACAACCCTTGAAATTCTGTTGGGTAAAGCCAAACTAAGCATGATAATTAGATTTTAAGACTTTTTACCAGGATACATTATAATCATTGATGTACTTCTACATTACAATCATTAAGGTACATCCTTTAATGTGCTTTAACTGAGAAGTTATTTAAACTTATTTGATAACTTTGTTGCTTTTTAAATTTTCTATTGTAAACATGAGTCAGTCAGGGTTTAGTAATAATAAGGAAATAGTATCCATTATAGAGGTGGAAGGTACAGCAAAATGGTTTTGATATTTTAGCCCACTCATGATCTTAGAATAACAGTAAAAACCTACAGCACTAAATAGTGTAGGTGTGGAATGCATACCATGAGACAGGATTCTTAGTGCTATTGGTTTTTTAAAAAAAAATACAGATCACAAAAGGAAAACAGTATGTAGATGTCTTCAAAATTTTGCGAATGAGACTTAACAGGTAAACAATATAATATTTTTACCTCAAATTCCAAAGAGTTAGGCGCACTTATCAAGGCTTACATCCCAATGGTCTTAACAGTAAAAAAAAAAGTTACTTCAGAGTAAATGAGAGCAAATATAAAGGAGATGTCCTTTTTGACCACATGTTTCCCATCTGGCAGGCATAAGCTTAAAATCAAATATTGTCTAACTTTATGAATGTCTTGGGGGGTTAGATTTATTTTTACAACAATAGTCATTCAAATGTTCATGTATTATGTAAACTGTCTGCTTCTTTCTTTCCTTCATCTGTCAACAGGTTCAATAGCCTAGATAGATGACATTTATTTCCAGAAACCAGCACCAGCCCCTTCATATGATCACTGTAGTATGTAGATCATTTGACTCATCATACATTTCTATGATGAAATTTGAAAAATGAGTCACCAGCAATTATATTATCTCTAGCATATGTTCTTCAAAATAAAGATTTGTTGGATAAATACTGTGATGGAAAAACCAGTCTTACTGATGTTGAAAAAAGTACATACGGATTCATTTTTTTCTGTACTTGTCACAGATGTCCAGAAAGTTAAACAGAGTAGCTTTATTTTCTCATTTGTTCTCCATGACCTCCTTTGTTTGTTCATATATCTGGTAGCCATACACAGGGCACTAAACCAAAATTGAACTTTAATTACTGTTTAGAGATCATGTCAAACTCAACTCTCATTGGGCACAGATGAAAATGGAAATGTGAGGAAGATAGAGTTTCGGTGGCGCAGTCGTTAAGAGTGCAGTATTGCAGGCTACTTCTGCTGACTGCTGGCTACCTGCAATTTGGCAGTTCAAATCCCACCAGGCTCAAGGTTGACTCAGCCTTCCATCCTTCCGAGATGGGTAAAATGAGGAGCCAGATTGTTGGGGGGCAATATGCTGACTCTTTAAACCGCTAAGAGAGAACTGTAAAACGCTGTAAAGTGGGATATAACTCAAAGTGCTATTGCTATTGCTAAGATGCTACCAGTAGCAGGCATAGGGAGCCACTGCATTCTGTTTGGACAAAGTGGCATACTTTGTGAATGACACAAGCTGCATCTCTTTATATAATTTGCAGTCTGTACAGTACTGCATACAAGTTTATTATTTATGTACCAAAGACAAACTCCTTGTGTCTAATCACACTTGGCCAATAAAGAATTCTATTCTATTCTATTCATAAAATAAATGATAAATCCACTCACTGTAATACGCTAAATTTCCCACAGGCAATTCTCTGTGGATGAAGGAAAGGATCAAATTGATTTAGGCTACAATCCTGCTGATTTCTAAATGTGTTAACAACTTACCCCTGGGTAGACCTGCAAAGGACTGTGCTACAGATAGGAACACATTGAAAAGGCTTTCCCTTCTGTGCCCAAATATAATAAAATTTGATTAAATACATATTTACAATGCCTGATTTTCAGTCAAGGAGACATAGTCTGTCATGAAAGGAGTTGATTTAATCGCTGTTAAGGCTTAAACCAGTTTTAGATACAATTCGGAGACATGACCATTGCAACAGGATAAAAACCAAATAAATAATTGAAAGTATTACCAACAGACAGCGAAGTATCTGTGAAGATTCTTGGTCATCCATTTCATAGTTGTCTCAAAAGTTTTTTTTTTTTCAAAAAGCAACTGGACTGGTTTTTTTTTCGAGGAAGAAGAACGTTTCGTTTCTCATCCAAGAAACTTCATCAGTTGTGATTGCGATGGGGATGGAAGGATAGGTACTGACAGTTAAGACTGGACGGACTGTCACAGAGAGTGCTAATGGACCAGAGGACTGCAAAGAAATACAATCCCACCTTACCACCACCATGGGGGTCAGAACCTATCCTTCCATTCCCCCCCTCCCCCATCACAACTGACGAAGTTTCTTGGATGAGAAACGAAACGTTTTGTTCTTCTTCCTCAAAGAAAAAGCGGTCCAGCTGCCTTTTGAGAAAGCACTTTGGAGACGACAAGCAGCTAGTCCGAAGCTGGAGTAGAGTGAGGGAATATGCAAGTCATCCCCTCCACTTGATTAACTCTCTCCCCCCTTTCTCTCTCGGGGGGGGGGTGTCCGCGCGATCCCCCCTCCAAGGAATCTGGGGACAGGCAAGGCGGTGGGATGGGAGGCGAAACCCGAGGGAGGCTACTCACTGTGCGGGTCGCTCTTCTCTCGGACTCCGTCCACTCGGCCATCAGAGTTAATTCTCAGGAAGAAGCCTCCATTTTTGCAGTACAGCCGCTTGGGGTCCTTAAAGTGTCCAGGCGGGAAGGGGCCACTGCTGCCGCCACCGCCGCCGTCGTCTGGAAAGGTGGTGATGCTCCCCGCCGCCGCCATCCTCGCCGGCGCAACCGAGGGCTCCCCTCTGGACGCCCTTCCGCCAGTTCTCCCCGCGCCTCGACGGTTCCCTCTGCCTCGCCTCCCTCTGCCGCGGCCCCCCAGTATCGCCTCCCGACGGCTGCCCCGCGGAGCGCCTGCCTGGAAGGGAGCGCTCCCTCGCACGGGGAGGAAAGGCGGGAAGGGGTGAGGGGAGGACGGGGCGTCCGCTTCGCCGAGTCGAGCCCCCGCCTTACTTCTCCTTCGGAACTCCTTAAGGTCGCTGCGCAGCTCCGAGCTGGACGTCCAAGTCCGTTCTTTTAGCCAGGCGGTCGGCAGAGCCCGGTCGGCTGAAGGCTTCGCCGCCTGCTGTCGCCCAATAAAAGAAGCCAAGGAGGGGAGTCGCTCCCGCTCCTGTGGTTGCCTCGGGAGGCCCGCTCAGTCCGCGCTATTATTTACTTGTTTGTTGCCCCCGGCCGCCCCCCGGCCCCACCTCTTTCCTGCCCTCCTCTCCCACCCACCCACCCCTCCCCTTCCCCTCGGTGCTTCCCTGCGCTGGCTCTCTGCCTGTCCCCGGTACGAGAGAATCGCTCGCCCTGGCTCCGCTGCAGTGGAAACTGGCAAGGATGGAGAAGCGAAGAGGTTCGTTCCTTCCCGCCTCCTTCGCATCCCTTCGCGTAACCCTACCCTGCCCAGCGCTCGCTCCGCTCCGGGGCCCTTTTTTGGGCCGCCTGTGCAAATCCCGAGTTTGGCCGTTGGTCCTGCGCGATCGGTTACCACTGCTACCCCACCGCAAGACGGCCCTCGGGCTAATCTAGAGGCCCCGGGACGGCCGGTTCTCTCACAAGGGCATAATTCGCGGTTCTTTCGTGACAACCCATGGGAACGTTTCCAGGTGGCAACGTTTCCTCGGCCTGCGCAATGATACCAAAACCAAAACTCTTTTGAAAGATCGAGGTGACTGTGTAGCACTAAGGGATCAGAGGTGCCCATTTTCCTAAGAGAGGTTTCAGGGCTTGCTTGCTTGCTTGCTTTCCTTTTTTTTATGCGGAGGCAATGGAGGCAGTTGTTCTGATCTCATACATGGAGAAGTGGTTATACCGCGTGGTATAGTACTTGTAATCAAAATTACAATTAGTTGGATCAATACTTTCTATTCAAGAGAATAAAACTTATAGCCCCAAGTGTTAATTGCTGCTTAAAAGACAACAAAACCTTTTGAATTTTCAATGTTTCTGCATAAAAGTGACTAAAACTCTATCTCTTTTCCAAAAAGTCCTTAAACTAGACAAAAAAACCCCAATTAAACAAATAAGTAAAAAATATCACTTAGTTGTTGATTTATTAAGGGAAATGATCCAAACCAATATTTTCTGTGGCGAAAGTAGTTTCTAGGATTATCAGTTCATTTGAAGGTGAAATTTGAATCAGGTGTTTCTGTCCATGAGAGAATAACAGTCAGAGATGGTTAAAGACCAGAATGCAAGCTTTTACTATCAACATTTTATCTTCACAACACAGGTATCTGGAATTGTGTCTTGTCTCAAACAAAGGCATCTGAAGACTCCCCACAACTATAATTGATGCTCACCAGACTGGAATGGTTACCTGTAGCCTGGCTACACTGCAAAGCTCTAGATTTCTTGATCAGTATGCTTTAAGTAAAGCTTAGCAACAAAATAAATGTTTGGCCAATGTATGCTGAAGGAATGACCATGGAGTTTTACTTGTTGGGAAATTTTCAGAAAAAATATTCTGGTCAGTTGGAATGTTAAATCCCATAGAGATCTGGGAAGAGAGGAGCATTAAGAAATCATTATGATCCTAGTGCAAAGTGAATTTCTACTTGGACCATTCCTTCACTAACCATTAGTAAAATAAATATAGACTTAGGGCAGCAAGGTTACCATATGACAGTAAAGAAGAATCAGCCACAGAACAAAAAAAATTAGACCTCTAGAAAACATTATCTATTTCCATCATAGAGCATGATGCTTGGAATCCCATAAGATCTTGTCCTCTTTTTAAATTAAGTTACATTCTTTCTATAACTGTACTCATATTACAAAACATTCTGGCAACTGAAATGTGCCAGAATTCATTTCTGTTGGATGATAGAGCAGAGTGATCTGCTTATGATGCTATTAATGTTTCAGATGTATACAGGTGACCACAATTGAGCCCAAATTTTCTGTTACTAAGTGAAACATTTGTTAAGTGAGCTTTGCTCCATTTTACAAATTTTTGTAGGAGATGACTAAGCTGAGCCCGAGGGAAGGGTCAAATGTATCATCAGTCATGAGTCCTTGCATGCCCACAAGAAATCTAGGTTCAGCCCACCTTGAATTCCTTTTTAACTCCTGCTTATTTCCTTTTACCATTAGTAGTTCAAATTCTTGTAGATTGCTTAAGCTTGCAATAAATCTTTATACACATTTGAACTCCCTGAATCTCCTGATTTCCCCCTTACGTTCCACCTTTCTTGCCTCCATTCTTGCCACCATTATTAACTGAATCACTGCAGTTGTTAAGTTAGTAACAGTTAAGTGACTCTGGCTTCCCCCATTGACTTTACTTGTCAGAAGGTGGCAAAAGGTGACCACATGATCCAGGGATACTGCAACCAAAATAAATATGAGTCAGTTGCCAAGCGACCAGGTGACCATGGGGGGGGGGGGGCTGCAATGGTTGTGTGGAAAAAAACATAAGTCACTTTTTTCAGTGCTGTTCTAACTAAATGAACTGTTGGAAGTCCAAGACTACCTGAATACAAAAGTCAATAGTCAAACATATATAGGAATTCATTATTGGTAACTTTCTGAAACAATTCTAAAGAAACTGGAAACATTGAAAACAGTACAGAAAAGCTTCTTTTAAAATCATAGTGTAGTAATAGAATAATTTGTCTTAATCGTCCCATCCTGAATGTGTTACTGCCAAAATTCACACCTTGCCTAATTCATTCAACTTAGACTCACCTTGCAATGATGAGGAGCCTTCTGGGCAATCACAGGTGCTGTGCCCATTTCACGCTGAGCAAAAATGATTCAATCAACTCCCTAAGTGCTAAACAAATAACGAATTTGGCATATGTTCCTATGAAATGGGCAAAAATCAGATGTGCAATCATGTTTATTTGCAAGAAATTAACTCTCTCCTGGAACACAAATGGAATTCTGGAATGATTAGGAAATGTTATGATCCTGGAACAATGGAGTCTCCTGTTGATTAGGTCAAACCCAGAATTATATTAAAACTAAATGTGCCTAAAACTCAGAGAATTATTGTGTGGCTTGACTTGAATGTAAATACTTTAATTAGGAGATGGACTGAGTGTTGTACATATGGAAACCAGATAATTTTTTTCATCTGAAAAAACTCTACTAACTGAAAACACACTACATATTTGTGTCCTTTAAAGCAGAAAATGTTCTTTTTGAAAACATCACTTTTGGAATTGAAACATTTTCCTACAGATAACACAAACTGACATTGTGATGTAGACTTGGAGATGTTATGAATTTATTTATGCTGTAAAAATAAATTGCAAGTTTTGTAAACAAAATAGGCATTAGGGCACTCAGGGCTGCAATAAGAATGCTACAATAAAGTTCTTATTATGTTGCCAAAGACTATTAATAATAGTTTTACATGGGAAAATACAGAGCTTTCTAATGTATTAGCAAGAAACATTATTTATGATTTGTTAGATTAAAAAATATATAAGCAAAATTGGACTGAAAGTAATTTCTTGTCAGTTTGGGGACTACAAAACTGTGTGTGTTATAAAAGTTATGATGTAAATCTGGCAACAATATAGTGTAACCCTAAAAACATGTGGACTTCCAACACTGACTGGATATTACAGCATATGATTTCTAAGGGCAAAGCTTTTGTGTCATCATCCTGTATTATAAATTATCACATCTGTAGCTCGGCAGCTGCTCACAGGATCAGGCCATCTAGTTTTTTTTCTGACTTTATTCTTAAAGTTGGTTCTTGTTTCTCAATCAAGTGTCCCCAATGGGTCATAAGTTCAAAGAATTCTGCATTTTAAGTATTGCACATTTCTAATTAATCAGAAATGTACATGACATTTTTTAAAAAAATCAGAGCATTACAAGAACATTCTAAGCAATGTAGAAATGAAATATGATCATTGCAGACTTTAGTGGTGATCAAATCTCTGGCAAGTTTATTATCATATGATGATAATATAATGATTAAACCTTTTCTCTTTTTAAATGATGCCTAAGTGCATAAAACTTTCTTAGCTTAAAAACACATAATTAATAACAACATTTAACAGTTGAATTAACAATGATGGACTGAATACACATTTCCTAAAGTGAAATATTAATCAGCACTATTTTTAAATAACACATGTCACGTGAAGAGAATGTTATCCATTCTTGATAGTTCCGCTCTCCCCAAAGAACAGACATAAAAATTCACTGCTTTCTACTTTGCTTTCATTTCAGTCTACAACTATTGCTATAAATTCACAGCATGAGGCCCAACAAGGGAATGCTTAGTACTTAAGTCATGTTCCAAGAGACTTGCAAAGCAAGAGCCACTGAGTACATCTCAACAAACAAAAAAACAGTGCATAATTACAGCTTATTGTACCATTTGTTTCCCTAAAATCTTTCTAACAATGCATACAATGTATTTTTATTGTCCTGGCTGAACAAAAGAAAAAAGCAAAGCTTTCTGTGAAAAACTTATTATTATTTGTTTAATACTTATTAACATTAATACTTATTTTTAAAGCTTTTTGTGTGTTTAATTTTCAATATTCCATATGTTTATCCACAATCCCCCGTTTTCCCATCAATCTGATGTTCTGAATCACTATGGACAAGAATAAAAAAGGTTAAATTGTCTGTAAGTATATATGTCTATGCATGTGTGTGTGTGTCTGCATGTCTATTTGTGTGTGTGAAGATTATTGGTTGCGGTCTCAACAGCTCTCATCCTCCTTCTACGAAGACTTCTTTCTTGTCTTCATGTCAATGAACCATCCTACTAATCTCTCCCTTTCCCTCCCAACTCTCCACTTTTTCCTCCCATGTCATCCATTTTTATTTTCCTCTCTTTATGCTCAGAATCCAAACTGTCGCAACTCAAGATCCAGCCTACCAACTGGTCTCTCCTATCCCTAAATCCTAGGATCCAAAGTTTCCTACCCCAGGATCCAGCCAATTTCTCCTATACACACAAACATATACACATACACATACATGGACAAGTCAAGAGAACCTGGAATTGATGGAATGTTACTACAAGAGCAGATCTAATGAGAGGGGATATATGACAGAAGATATATGGACAGAAGACCTGCATCCACAGTAACTGAGAAACAGCTACCAGTAGTTACCGAACACTTTAACATAATGAAGATAAACTGT